TCCCATGTGGAGACCGGTTCCCACTCGCTGGCTGAGCGCGGTGCGGGCGCAACACCGAGGGTTGCGATCCCGTTACCGGTCAGTAAAAAAAAAAAAAAAAAAAGACAAAAAAAAAATCTAATGATTGTTATTTTATGTATGATACAAAAGTTCTGAATTCCCATTTCAACCATTCCCCATCCCCCAATTACTACAATTTTTGCTCTTCGGGAGTCATAGTATTTTTCTAGACTGACACAAGGTGGCAGCATCTGTCTCCTTTTGAGTTATCAGCCACGTTCTAGTTTTACCAGTTGTAGACAAATTTTCTAGGACATCTTTATTTGCAATTTCCTTCGCCTATTCTAGATTTTCTTTTCTTTTTTTTTAATGAACGACATTAACTGTTTGAATTATCATAAGATTAGTTTTTAACTACTCTAATTGGTAGAAAGGTAAAAATATTGACATGAATCCAAGGCTGCTTTACAGTAACACTACTGTTTTGTGTTCTTAAATCTTCCTTTTTGTAACAAAAAACTGCTGGACAAAAATTATGAACCCAAATCTCCTGCTTCAGAGACACAAGGTGCAACAATGTTCTCTTCCAAGCCTGTAAGAAATGACAAAACAAAATAAAACTTCTCCTTTGTCTCTAGACAGGAGGCTGATTCAGCAGTCTCTCTATGTTACTCTGTGAAACCACTGAGAAGCAGAAATTTCTGAAAATTTCATTGAAAGACCTTGTGGTCAAGAAAAAATCTTGGTTTAGAAATTAAGAGACCTGGATTCTCATGGTGCTTCACAAATCTCCTCACCTCCAACCTTAAACAAAGCTCTTTTCTTTCTAAGATTCAGTTTCCTTATTTCTAAAAGAAGGATAATCTCTGCCTCACCTACTTGGAAATGAGATCAGTGAATATAAATGACATTATAAACTGTAAAGGGTATAAACTGAATATAGCATTATAAACCTTACACTGTATGAGCTAATGTTAGAAAAATTTCCATTTTACATAAGGGGAAAACCAGTTCTGTGCAGGTAAATGAGCTTGCCTCAGTTTTCTCATCTGTAAAATGGGACTAATGATATCAACCCCACCTACTTCAGTTAGCTGTGAGAATAAAATAAGATAATGGATGTGAAAGTGCTTTTAAAATCAAAGTACTGTAATCTCACTTGTATAAGATTATTAGTTTAAGCAAATGGCTTTTCTTGGATTTCACAATTCTGAAGAAAACAATGTGTAACTATACGGTCTAAAAAAATAAGCATCTTGGACTTACTATCTTCAGAAACCTCAAGACATTACATGTTTTAAAAAGATAGCTAGGAGTAGAGAGGCCAGAGGTGTTACTGCATTTAGGGAATAATGAATAAAACTAAATGGTATATTCAGAATTGGTACTTGATAAATACTTTAGAATACCTGTATTTAAATTAAGTGCATTGTGTAAGTGAAGTGTTCATTTAAAATATTAACATTCAACTAATTTTTATTGGCTGCCTATGGTGTACCATGTATTTTCAAATGTATTATTTCATTTTATAATTTTTTAGTCCTCCTCAGAACCAGAGAAAAACGTAGCCCCATTTAAAAGTTGAGGAAACTGAGGTTCAGAGAGGTTACTCAGCTTGCCTCAGGTCAAACAGCAGATTCAAGATTTTCTGACCTCAAATCCCCTGCTCCTTCCTGCCTTTTCTCAGGAGCATTCCCGTGGATGCCTCTACTCAGTCCTGTGAATGCACTCATGATGACAATTCCAACATTCACAACAGCAAGCCAGCAATTTTTTGTTTAGTAAAAACCAGACGTGGAACATAACACTTTTGAAACCTGGATGAGTGTCTTCTTGAGTTAATTTCAATGGCTTAAGAAATTTGAGTTCTGACCTATTGTCTTTTACGTAAAGGAACTCAGCTACTTTTCCCTTAAATATTTCCAGAGCCAATTCATACCTTTTCAAAAAAATAAAAATGATTAACTATTAAATGTTAGGGGTTAAAAAGAGAGAAAGAAAATTATGAGGTAACAAGAGATCTTAGAAATGAAGGCCATTTAAATCTCTTGGGAGGTATCAGTTATTTAAGAATGATGTGCTGTTGTTGTCACACATAATAAGTTAATCTTAAAAAGGCATTTATCCCTGCTGATGTTATAGTTTTTATACAAACTAGTTTAGTGAACTGGATGTCATTTTAATGTGTGAATTTTGGTAAGCTATGTTTACCAGGAATTTTAATAACTTAATTACTTTGAAATGACACCATTCTAAACTATCAAATCTGTTCCACTGCATTTTATTTGCTGGTAAGATTGTTCAACTTTAGAGTTTAAAGCCAAGAGGCCTTCAAATTTATGTACCTGGTTAGGCTGTTTTATTTCCTGTTATTTAAAGGATGATATTGACACTATATTTTATGACTTCTTCAAGTCAATTTTTATAAGTATTTTTAGTGTTCTGTTCCCTTGAAGAGTTATTCAAAAATATATTACATGTTTGCATAGAAATACATGCATTAATTAACATTATGACTTTTAGTTATGAAAAAATAGCCTACAGAGCCTTGTAAATGGAAATATAAAACTCTTATTTAAATATCTATTTTTTTTTCCCTTTTATCTACTTTTGGAATAACAGATTTTTATCCTTCTTAATAAGTAGCTGAGTTTAATCCAGAGAACATTAAAGCTAAATATGTTCCTAGTATTCACTCTAATGCCGGCTAAAGTTAACAATCTTGCCCAGTAACCTTTAAAGAGACCAACAATGGTTTCTGGGTTATGATACTATTTAACTATGGTAAACATGCTTTTAAAAACACATTTATTCTTAAATTAATAAAAGTCATTTCACAATAAGGAAAAGCAGGCAAGAAGCATAAAGAGAGATAATTATAAAATTCACTTAGTCACTATTTCTTTCTTTGGTTTTGGATTTCACCACTATTTCTGGAGGTATCAAAGTAAAGCCTCTTCCCTCATGGAGCTAACAATCTTTGAGAGATAATTAAGACCACTTGTGAAAGGTGAAATAAGACAGGGTAGTGCACAGTGGAATGTAAGTGGCCATCTGAGTGGCACAGATGCCCAAGGACTTTTAAGCCTCAAAGGACGGAAAGAACGGAGTGGGCTGTAGTTTCAAGAAAGCTTGCAGTTACTTTTAGATCGGAATTCCAAAAACATGGTTTGGTGATTTAGAATTTCAAGGATGATTATAATATTAAGCAGAAGACACTGGAACCCTGAATTCCTTTTAGAATGTCAATAATTATGAAATTGGCCTTGTGTTGTTTCTGCTATTTTAACGTTTCAAGAGAAGGCATTCCTCACTGAAAAACTATCTGAAAAATCTTTTTTTTTTATTTACCGTAGTTTTTATCTGCTGCTATTTGAATTGAGAGTTCTGCGTCTGATCAGCAGCTGGATGCTTCAGCTCTAAACCTGCCTTGGAGATTCAGTTACCCTTTGCTTCCAGAAGACAGCAATTTTGCCTTTCTTTGCCTGACCCACTTGTTAAGCAGTTCCAACCTGAGTTTAATTTGGCAGACACCAAACCCTGTGCTAGGCTTTAGGCGGACGTTGTGGAGCTGGTAATCTATGTAGCTGACAAGTTTTTACTAACTATAACACCAAATCAGACTGAGGTAAGTGTTACAAGAGTGTTATAAACAAAGTGTTGAAGGTGAAGTTAATTCTGTGCAGGGGTCAAGAAAGGGCTCAGAGAGGAGGTGACATTTCAGAGGACACTAAAGCAAAAGAAGCTTTTTGCTAGCAAGAGAGGGGATGGGTGCGCATTACAGGCAGAGGGCACTGGAGAGCAGAGGTGTGGAGTGTGAAAGGCCTGTTCAAGAAAGGGCGAATGGTTGACTGGTGGCTAGTACAGGGTTATTGCACCCCATAACAAGTTAGTGTAAGAAAGAACACGATCCATACAATTTATTTAAAAGCTACAACTATTTCTATTTCTGGATGCACAAAAAGAGACATTTGGAAGAAATGCCCATCTATCGTCCACTCTGCTAGGTACTCCATGCTAGGTACTATAGAAGATATAGAAGATAGAAGATAGAAGGTTCTATAGAAGATATTCCTTGCCCTGAAAGTGTTTGTTCTCTATCTGGAAGAAAGATTAACACATAAAATAATTAAAAATAATATGATGGCCTCTAACGACGAGTGTTAGATTGCCCGAAACTCAAGCCGGAGAGCACTCCAGCTGCCCTGGAATTTTCCATTAGCGGTACGGGTATGCTTGAGGCCAGCCGAACTAGCAGAGGGTTTGAAGAATTTGGGACTCTTTCACCCCAGAATCAGGAATAAAGTTAATGGCTAACCTTTATAGAGTACTTCCTATGTACTGGGTACTGTTCTAGGAGCTTACATGGGTTAACTAATTAAATCTTCACAATTTATTTGGGAGAAAGTTATATGGGGAAACTGAGGCACAGAGGTACAACCAGGGCTCAAATCCATGGGACCCGGCTCCGGAGTCCTAAGGTCTTTTTCATTTTAGTGTCCTCAAAATCTAGCACCGTACCCGGTGTTGAGTGTTAAGACCTTTAAAAAAAAATTCCTTGAAATTTGTATTTTCAGCATAACACAATTCATGTCAAAATAAAAACTTGAAAGCCTCAAACTTGTAAGGGCGGAGAAATGCATTTTAGCTGTACAGCTCCAACTTTTGCCTGATCCAAGGTCGGCAAGAAAATGTTTCTTTTTATTTACATTTTTTCCCTTTTGTGACAATTTGGTGTTTCTGAACGCTAGGGGCTCCCGGATTCTCTGGTTCGAGAGTAACTTTTCCTCTTAGTTTTTTTTTTTTTTTTTTGAAGTGGGTGGGGGGAAATGTGGCCTTAATTATCCTACGGGCAGCTTAAGGAAGGGGCTGTGCTTTCGGAATCCCATCCGAGCCAAGTAAGGAGGTCCCTCTCTCTCTCCCTCCCCGCCCCCTCCCCCCTCTTTTTAAAGGACCTCGTGAAATAAAAGTGCAGAAAACAAACCTAGGCGATCACAGCAGCAGCAGCCGCGACAGCAGCAGCAACAGCAGGAGGAGGCGGCGGCGAAGTCGGAGCTGGGGCAGGCGCTGCGGCGTTGCAGGGCTCGGCGCAGCTCCCATTCATTAAGTAACCAGCTGCGGAGGAAGGTGGCCCAGCGCCCGCGCTGCCCCCTCGCTCGCTCGCGCACACGGACACGCGCCCGCCCAGCGCGTCCGGAGCAGCCCAGCTCTGCAAAAGTTTCTGCTGGGGATTTGGCTCCCTGCCCCTCGGACTTTCAAACCATTTGGGGTTGAGAGAGGAAAGCAGAGGCGCGCAGGGGGGACAGAAAACACCACCATCTGCAGTGGGAAGCGGGCAGCCGGGGCTGCACTCTTCGCCGCCGCGCCCCGAGTCCGGGCCGACCCACCGCTCTCCGCAGCAGCCTCGGCCGGGAGGCGACCCGGGCGTCTGGGTGTGTGGCTGCTGTCGCGGGGCGTCTTCGCGGGGACGGGAGGCTCGCGCCGCAGCCAGCGCCATGCAGAACTACAAGTACGACAAGGCGATCGTCCCGGAGAGCAAGAACGGCGGCAGCCCGGCGCTCAACAACAGCCCGAGGAAGAGCGGCAGCCGGCGGGCGCTGCTCATCTGCCTCGACCTCTTCTGCCTCTTCATGGGTGAGCCCAGCCCCGCTGTCCCTCGGGCCCTCGGCGCGCGTCCCAGGCCGGCCCCAAGGCCCCCGCCCTCCCAGATCCCACCAACTTCCCGGCCTGTAAATGAGTGCGTTCGGGCGTGCTCGTGCGTTCGCGGGCAGCTGTAAACCCGCTCCAGTTTGCAGTTGGCAAAGTCGTCTCCAGCTGGAAACCCGGGCAGAATCCCGCGGAAGATGTGGGTTCGTTCTTTTAGCATAGGGGAAGTTGGTTGAACCCTGATCTAGAGCCAGCGTAGAGCTTGTCGCCCTCCATCCAAGTCAAATGGATCGCAGGGAGAGCCGGGCTCCTGCCGGGAGCCGAGCTGCCTTCCCCCGGCTGTGTGTAAACATCCAACCCTTCCGCCTTTGCTGCCTCGCCTGGCCAGGCTTGCAAGCTGGCCTTTTCACTTGCTTCTCTCCTGGACACCCTCCAGAGTCTGGAAGGTGCTCTGCTCTGGCTTGGTGCTGGGCACCGGTCAGTAGTCACTTCTTGAGTGCCTACTGTGTGCCAGGTGGCTTCACGGGCATCAGTTTTAACTAGCTCTCTCCCTGATTCTGTTCAGTAGGGGTGAGGAGCCCCATTTCACCGAGGAGGACACTGAGGCACTGGAAAAGGAAGCCTCAGTCTTGTCTGGGGGCCACAATTTAATTGCTCTCCCAGAAAGTTGAGGCGATAGGCCACTTCTCTTTTCCAAAGTAGTTGGAAGCTACAGTTAGCAGAGAGGTGGGAGTTAAAGGAATTGGAGTGGGAGGGTGAGAATACCAGTCCGGTGGGGAGAGGCAGAGAGCTATTGACACGAATCTACAGGAGTTCCAGGGTTGAAGTCAGCGTAGATTTTTTTTTTCTTTAAGAGAATCATGGTGTAATGGAAAGCACACAAGACTTGTCATCAGAACACTGCCACTCTGCCACTTGCGGGGTGTGCCACCTAACTGCCTCATTGGCCTCAGTTTCCACAGCAGTTGAATGAGTGGGATGGAGTAGATGCTCTCCAAGGCCCCTTCCTGCATTAAGAACTCGGATTTGGTCCAGGAGCTGTTCTGCCAACTCTGCTAACTGAAGAAACATCTGTGTTCCCAATTCAGTTCCCTTAAAATAGAACTCCTGCACGGAGACTTAAGTCCCCTTTGAAATGGATTTGTCCATGCAGAGTGTGCATACCAGAGACTTCTTAGGCTGGAGTTAAACTTCCCTGTGGCCATGACTCTTTCTATAACAGTGTCATGACCAAACAGTGGCCTCTTGACTGTTCATAGTAAATTTTGAGAGTGGAAGAAAGATGGGATTCTTAGAGTTAAAAAATTAGAATGACCACCTTCAAGTACAGAGAGACAGCTGAAGGGAAAATTGTACTCTGTGGCAGGAAAGAAAATTCTCTACAGTTGAGGTGGCGTATCCCACTCCCACCTCTCAATATTAATTCAACATTAAGATGCTATGTAAGGGAATTGTCACTGGGGGGCCTCCCTTCCTGAAAGCAGCTGGTTTATTATCATGCACAGTGGAGACAGATTAGTACTGAAAGTGTTGTAACCAAGCTATTGAATTTTTAAAAGACCCTCCATGGTCCTGGGCGAGTACAAGGAAACACTAAACACATGGAAGCTGTTTGCTGTAAACTTGCCTGGGGCTTCCCAGTTTTTTGTTGGTGATAGGGTAAGATCTTTCCAGACTGCCTGTGCGGAGTACCCTCCTACCTCCTACTCTGTGATTAGGAAAGTTGAGCTAGAGCGTGCTTGACAGCCTTTGTACAATTTCATCATTCTCTTCCCTTCTACTCTTCTGATTTCAGAAAGCAGTCCCAAGAGATGGTGTATTCTTATTAAAGGAAAAAGAAAAGAAATGTGAATGAATTTGGAAAAAGACATACCCATCCGTTATAGTTTAGCCAGGGACACAGAAATCCCAAGATACTCTGTTGTGCATTAAAGGTGTAAGGAAGGTGTGTGTGTGCACATGTGCACATTTCAGCTCTTCATTTGCCCCAGCAATGCCCATGTCCCCCAAAGCTAATATTCTAAACCTACCTGTTCATTATATTTATTCACTGTTTTTCTTATGTTTGAACAAATGATTTTGTTTATCTCAAAAAAGCAATAACATATTAGGACCATGTATTTTATTATGAGGCACATAGCTACCTGTTTAAAGGGGTATGTGTCTTTGCCATTAAAACCATGGCAACGAAGTCATTTTCAAAGTGACTTATTGATCAGTGTTTCTCCTAAGCACTGCCAAATTATGATATCACTAATTAAATGTCTAATTTTTAGTAGGAAAAACTGTTTTAAGATAAATATTTACTTGAGATATTTATGCAGGAAAACTCTATTTGGCTTCCAAAAGAAAAATTAATAACATGTGATTTCAATATTGTACACACCACAGTCCTAAAAAAACTGTTTCTACTTAGTTCACTTTTTGCCTAAGACTGTCAGTATGATTTAATTTTTATATAGTTTATTGATCATATGGTCTGGATTACAGGGCACTGATATATTAAGAAAAGAGACATAGTTTTCTGTTTACTCTCCCACAGGAATATATACCAAGCTTCATCTTCTAGTATCTGGAAAAAATAAAAGCTGTTGTGCTATGCAAGTGTTATGTAAGTGGAAGTATGCGAGTAGTTTAACTTGTTTCACATACTTTTTTTGGAATGTTAAATTCTTGGTGAAAAAACAAAAGTCCACTCTTATTTGAAGACCAGAAGAATCTGGTGTTAGAATCCCGGTGGGAGCTTACCTCCCATTGAACAGCTATCTTTGCCAACTAGTTGCTTTTAAATACAGTTATAAATCTTTGCATGGTAGTTTTTCTGAAATTGATTTTGCTTTTCAATGAAGTAATGTGTATCATCTCCTGTTTTTTTGTGCATTAGTTTGGGTGTATGAAGTTAAATGAGAGCGGCAGAGACATTTTTCGGCTGGAAGGGAGAAACACCTGCTCTCTTTCTAAGCTCTGTTGGCCTCTTTCTTTATATAAATTAAATGATGTACTCTTCACCGTAAGCCCCAGGAAAAGATTCTCCATTTTATAGACCAGAAAACCAAGTCTTAGAGAAGGGAAAGACAGATTCACACTGAAGTTGACTTGAGAAGATCGCTCATCTCAGTTTAGCATGAGTGGAGTCCTCATCTGAAGAATCCAAAACTCAGATTCTCATCAGAAAATCCTGAAGCTCAATTTGCAAAAAGTCCTGCCTCTCCACATTTCCAGTTACCCATTTGCACCAAAGCAGATGGATAAAAGCGGTTGCAATCTTCTCGACAGAATTTAGGTGGTCAGCAACTATGTAATTTAATTTGTTTGTTCCAGAATGTTTTTTGAAATTTTCTGATTTGCAATTAAATGGTTGAGAAAAAATTCTAGTAGAGAGGACTGGCACATTCGTTGAATGTCTACCTTATGCATGCACTCTGCTGAATTCTTCATTGTACATTAGCTCTGTGAATCATCAGGAAAAACAAGGAGCCTAAAGACGTGAGTTCTAGTCTTGTACTGCTGCTACGTTGCTATGAGACAGGAAAAAATTACTTTAACTTTTCTAGGCCCCCATTTCTTTATCATTGCAGTGAAGGGAAGGGACTAGATCATCTCTCGGACTCCTTCTAGCTCTAACATTTTATAAGTCTATGCTGGTAAATATTGTGATGTTAGAAACCTAGTTACTACTTCTCTTAGACCATTTATCATTAACAAATTGTTATATGGTTGGCCAAAGAATTAATGCTGACAATTAGCTTAAGCTGGTGTTAATTCTGGAGGGAAAGAAGCACTGCTTTTACTAGAGTTAATCCAATATGCTGAGAACCTGGCTAGATTTTTCCTAATGTGTCCTTTCACCTGCTCCCTGAAATTCAATCACAAACAAGTAAGCAAGCACAACAGGTGACTTTTCCCTCCTTTTTGCTCAGTTATTATATTCATCAAGTATTGTATGTAATAACTCAATACGTTTTTAAAATTTTATTACATTAAAAAAAAATTTTAGGCCGGCCTGTGGCTCACTTGGTAGAGTGCGGTGCTGATAACATCAAGGCCACGGGTTCGGATCCCACATAGGGATGGCCGGTTAGCTCACTGGCTGAGCGTGGTGCTGACAACACCAAGCCAAGGGTTGAGATCCCCTTACCGGTCATCTTTAAAAAAAAAAAAAAAAATTTATAGCAGTTTGAGTTTTACAGAGAAATAGCAGATAGTTCCCATACCCTCCCCCCACCCACATATATAGTTTCTCCTGTTATTGATAGGTTACATTAGTGTGGTACATTTGTTACAATTATGAATCAATACTGATATATTATCACTAACTTAATTTTATATTAGGGTTCCCTCTTTATTTTTATTTTATTTAATTTTTTTTTTCCTTTTTGTCTTTTTTCGTGTCCGGCAACGGATCGCAACCCTCAGTGTCGCGCCCACACCTCGCTCAGCCAGTGAGCGGGAACCGGTCTGTATGTGGGATCCGAACCCTCGGCGGGAGCGCTGCCGCGCTTCCCAAGCGGCGCACTGCAGCAGTGCGCCACCGGGCCGGCCCAGGGTTCCCTCTTTATATTGTATTGTACAGTTCTATGGGTTTTGCCTAATGCATAATGTCATGTATTCACCATTATAATATCATGTAGAATAGTTTTGCTTCCCTAAAAATCCTCTGTGCTCCACCTATTCATCCCTCCCTTCCTTATCTATTAACACAATAGGTTTTAATAACTTAATTTGCCACGTGAACCACAGAATACAGAAACAGATTTTCATTAATCAGCAATGAACTGCCTACCCAAGCATCCTGCATGGATTGCAATAAAGAAGGGAACCTCCATGTAGTAGGTAGGCCTGTCGAATTTTCTAGGATGGTTGAGACCTCTATTTTCTCCTTGTCTAAAAAGGCTAGTTGTTGTTTTTGTTTCTTAGCTCTTTTATCTTTCTTCCTTAACTGTCTCTTATACTTAAGAGATACACCATTGGGGTAGCTGCCTTTTGGG